TTAAAACCTGACTTAATCTAGCAAACAAAGAATCACCTTCTGTGATATGAAATGTGGGGTGGGGATGGAAATAGGAAATGAGTGCTTTTCCATTATAGACCTTCACTACCTCCCTCCCTGGATTATGTCATCCAAGCCCATGACCACTTCTATGCTAATGACACTACCACTTTGATAATTAGTAAGTCTCCCTGACTTCCTATGTCTAAAACAAAACTCAATTCCTTCCACAAACCTATCCCTAACTGCTATAAATGGAAATAACATCAATGTTCAAGTAAAAGAAAATCAAGAGCCATCTTTCATTTCCCTTTTCCTTCAATCGATCAATAAATCCCTCTGGTTCTACCTCCAAATCTATCCACTTTTTTCCATCTCCACTGCCAAGCCAGTGTCCCTGAAATAGTCTTTTGACTTCCACTCTGTTTCCTTAGAATTCATTAGTTACTTGCAACCAGTGTAAATTAAATCGTAAGATATCCCTGCTTAAAACGCTCCTCAGAACAAAACACAAGGCCTTTAATGACCTGAAGCCCACCTGCCTCTCCATCCTCAGCTCACACCACCGTTCTCCTCCTCTCTCCAGTTTACTGTGCACCCAATGTATCACACCTCCTCCCTTAGAGGCTCCGCATTTTCCATTCCCTTGGCTCAGAATCCCTGCTCCCCCACTGACTGCTGGCTATTTACCTTCTTGGCTTCTTTGCACTCTAAGATCTCCTTAGACATTTTTGAAAGTAGCTTCAACCCTTGCAACACTCTCTACAAATCACTCCCCCCTGCTTTTTACTCTAGTACTAGCAATTAAACCCAGGGGCACTCTACCACTGAACTAACATACTCAGGTTCCCCCTTTTTAGTTTTGAAACAGGGTCTAAGTTGCTCGACTAACCTCAAACTTGTGATCCTCTGCTGGGATTACAGGTGTGCACTATCATACCAAGCTACCTTTTTTTTTCCTTGCATAATATGTATTACATCTAAAATTATTTTATTTGTTTACTGCTTCCTTCCAGTGAGTTCCTTAAGTGAAGGGATCTCTCTGTCTTGCTTGTTATTATCCCTAATATCTAGAACACACCAACACCTTGCAGATACTCAAAATACATTTGTTGAATGAGTGAATTGACTTGATAAACACCACTGAAGCAGAGCATGGGTTTTCATCATATTGATTTTGACTATATAACTTATTATACTTTAAATTGTATTAGTTTATTATATAAACAACATTTTTACTGTGCTCCAGGAGGACAAAAAAAGATAATTAAGATTAAATGAGGGGCTGGGGTTGTGGCTCAGTGGTAGAGCGCTTGCCTAGCATGTGTGAGGCACTGGGTTCGATTCTCAGCACCACATAAACAAATTAAATAAACAAAATAAAGTTATATATAAAAAAGATTCTTGATGTTTAAAAAAAAAAAAAAGATTAAATGAAGGGGCTGGGAATGTAGCTCAATGGTAGAGTGCTTGCCTATCATGCACAAGACTCCGGGTTCAAGCCCCAGCAACAAGAGGGGAAAAAAGAGAAAAAGGAGGAATAAAACACTACTGCACTAAATCTTATACTTATTTTGGATAAGATTTGAGGGGGAAAAAACCACATTTAGCAATTGTTTTGGTGGACTAGAAGTGGGGGTGAGATATAATACAGCAAGTAATACTAAAAAATAAGAAGAGTCTAGTAACCACTGCTACTCAGGAAGCTGAGGCAGATGGATCCCAGGTTAGAGACAGCCTTGGCAATGGAGTAAGACCCTGTCTTAAAATAAAAAGGGCTGGGGATGTAGCTCAGTGGTAGAGCTTTACTGGATTTAATCACAACATTTTTTTAAATAAAAAGTTTTTTAAAAAATAAACACTAAGAAAAAAAAGTAATTGAATTAAACAGAGAAAAGGGAAAGTTGAATCAATGGCTATAAAAGCCAAGCATCTCTAATTTCAAAATTCAAGTTCCAAAACCCTCCCAAATCCCAAATATTCCAAAATGTTAAATTCTTTGAGTGTTGATATAAAACTCAAAAAGTTTTTTTTATTTTGGAGCATTCTGGATTTTGGATTAGGGATGCTTAACCAATAAACTCCAGGCAAAACCATGAAATTTGAAAAACTCCAAATTCTGAAACACTCTGGTCCCAAGCGTGTTGAATAAGTAAACCTGTCCTAATAATTTTTTAAAATATTTTTTAGTTGTAGTTGGACATAATACCTTTTATTTTATTTTTATGTGGTGCTGAGGATAAAACGCAGCACCTCGCACGTGCTAGGCAAGCACTCTACCACTGAGCCACAACCCCAACCCCCTAGTAAACTTAATCTAGCATTTTGATATGTGATCTTTACACTTTTCCCTTATGAAGGAAAATGAAGAGAATCTTGGTATTTGTATGGTAGCAGGAATTGATCCCCAGGGCACTTAACCACTGAGCCATATCCCCAATCCTTTTTAATATATATTTTTTGAGACACTCACTAAGTTGCTTAGGCCTCGCTAAGTTGCTGAGGCTCGTTTTGAACTCATGATCCTCCTGCCTCAGCCTCTCAAGCCGCTGGGATTACAGACATGCACCACCATGGCTGGCAAGAATCATATTTTTTTATATTGTATTTTAGTTTGCTTTTCATCCCTATGACCAAAATACTGGACAAGAACACCTCACAGGAGGGAAAGTTTACTTGGGGCTCATGGTTTCAGACGTTTCAGTCCATAGACGATTGACTCCATTGCTCTGGGTCCACAATGAGGTAGCACATCATGGGAAAAGGACTCAGCAAAGGAAAGGTGCTCCACTGATGTCAGGGTCAGGAAGCAGAACATGCGGGAAGGGGGAAGATACACCCTCTCAGGGTGCAATTCTAGTGACCACCTCCACCTCTACTAGCCATGCCCTACTTGCTTACAGTTCACCCTTCAAATGAGGATAACTGATTAAGTTACAATTCTCCTAATCTAATCATTTTCATCTCTGCATATTACTGTATTAACAAGAGTTTTTGGGGAACACCTCATATCAAAACCATAACATACTATTTATAGTATATAGGTTCTTAACCAAGAAACAGTTCCATTTTTGTGTATGTGTGCACACAGTACTAGGGATAGAACCTAGCGACTAAGCTTGCATTCTATCATTGAGGACATTTTTTAAGGCCTATAACATTGCTTAATACATATCTAAGAACTTGTACCTGTACTTTGATAGGATAAACATCAATAAATACCAATGTGAGTTTTCCATTAGATAGAAAAAAAACATTTTCCCATATATTTCTATATGATACAGTGGTTCCCTGGAAGTGATCTTGTCTGTTTCAAATAGTTAAGAACTGAGCTGAGTGTGGTGGCACATTCACAAACTACTTGGGAGGCAGGAGGATCACAAGTTCAAGGCCAATTGCTACAACTTAGCAAGACCCTGTTTCAAAATTTTAGTAAGTTTTTGCTGGGCCCAGTGGCACACACTTGTAATCCCAGCAGTTCAGGAGGCTGAGGCAGTTCAGGATCATAAGTTCAAAATCAGCCTCAGCAACTTGTCAAGGCCCTGAACAACTTCTCGAGGCCCTGTCTCAAAATAAAATACCAAAAAGGGCTGGGGATATGCCTCAGTGGCTAGGCACCCCCAGGCTAACTCCTTGGTACCCCCTAACCTTTTCAAAAGTTGAAAAAAAAATTTTTGAGGGTTCAGTGGTAGAGAACTTACACATCATATATGAGACCTTGGGTTGAATCCCCAATAAAAAGGGGGTGGGTGGGAGAGAAGAACTAAAGAATGCTAGAAAATATACATTCTTCATATACAGTCTCACAATCCTCACTCAGAGCCTCTGCACTTTCTTATTTATTTATTTATTTATTGTAATTGGACTACAAATACCTTTATTTTGTTTATTTTTTAATGTGGTGCTGAGGATCAAACCCAGGGCTTCGCATGTGCTAGGCGAGCATTCTACCGCTGAGCCACAACCCCAGCCATGCACTTTCATTTTAAACTAAATTCTAACATGGAGCTAACTAGTATCTCGATGCACAGCAAATCATAGATGGCAAATTAGGATAGTGAAGTCAGGAAATTATTACATTGAGAGCACACAATCTAACAGGAGAAAAAAAGACTAAACCACCTTTCAAAAAAGTCACAAAAACTTAGAATCAGAAATAATTTTAAAAAGCATAGCTGGCAAGATTTCATCTAAAACAGTTATGATCTTAAAGATTTCAACTGCCTCTGAGATGATGAGTCTTAGTAGGTCAACATTAATATGGTATCCAGGGTAGTGGACTACCCAAAATACTGAACTTCGGCTCAAATAATGATTTGAAATTGATTATTTTTATTTTGTAGTGCTGTGGACTGAACCCAGGGCCTCATGCAAGCTAGGCAAGCACTCTGCCCCTGAACTGAGAGTTCTTAATCCTGGAGTTAAATGATTTGATAGGCATTTTATATTTTATTTAACAGACCATGAGTGATTCTATAACAACCAGAATGGAGAACCACTGTACTAATATTCTAAGAAAAGTGACATCATTCTTGAAATAGTGCTTAACAAACAAATAAGAATGTATTATGAGATGGGCTCAGTGGCACACACCTAAAATCCTAGTAGCTCAAAGACAGAGGCAGGAGGATCACAAGTTCAAAGCCAGCCTCAGCAACTTAGTGAGATACTGTCTCAAATAAAAACTGGGAATGTAGCTCAGGGCTAAAGTGCCCCTGAGTTCAATCTCCAGTAACAATAACAACAAGAATAACAACCAAAAAGGGGAAAAAGAGGTATTATTACCTACAAATAGTTTCAATAAAACATGTTAAAAGTTGAGGCGTGTTACAGTAAAATGGAGTATTCACTTTGGTAGAATACTTCACCTCCCAAAAGGAATGAAGGACGTTAACATTATGGAAAGAAAAACGCCTCACTATTTAAACTAAATAAGTCTGGGCACCAAAAACCTCTCTTCATACTGGAATCCTAAACAAAATATTCACACTTATACTCACCTTTCTGAAAAATCAGAGTCTATAAATTCTCTAGCCCGTTTTCTATCACTAAAAAGACAAAAAGCATAAACACAACACATAAATAAGCACAGCTTTATTTAATGAATAATTTATGTATAACTTGTCTAATTCTACACTGAATATATCCAAAGACAAAAACTAACAAATATAAAAAGTATGGTCACAAAATAAAAACAATCTTGGGACAAGACATGACAAAGTAATCTTACATTGAAATGAGTTCAATGAAAATTTAGGAAGGAGAACATTAGAGACCTACAAATGAGGTTTTACAAAATACTTTTGTTTTTGATGTGTGTGTGTGTCCATCTGTATGGATGCATATTAACATGCAGGTAGCTTAAAGGACTCAGCTGTCTGCTTGCTAAAATTCACCTAGTGCAGTAGCCACCATGTAAGTCCTTCTAAAGTAACAGAGTGACGAGATGAGACTCTGCATTACCCTATAAGCAAAGATGAAACAGATATGGGTTTGATACTAAAAGTGGCGAATGAGTAACACATAAGAGATATTGATTGAAATTCCCTGTGTTTCAAAGAATTAAGTAAAAACTGAATAGAATTTTTAATATCTTTGGCATTTTTCCCCTAGTTTTTTTTTTTTTTTTTTGTTCCCTAATTTCTTTTCTGGTTTTTAAGGAAATAAGAATTCATAGGAGAAATTCTGAGTATAGCCAACATATAATATATAGCTCCTATTTTATGTCTGTTAGTAACAATATAAAATATAATTTTCATACTTTCAAAGCAGCTACATGTTGTAACAATAAAAACAGTCTTATCTCAGAGTTTAAAAAAAAAAAATCCAAAGATTCAGTTTGAAGGTATTGTACTGCTTTTCTCTATTTAAAACAGGTTGATCCAGAGGCAATTTGTGTATGACACACAAAGTAAACCAAAATTGGTGATTTCAAAAAACATTAGTTTTTAAGAATTATACTAACAAAACAAGAACAGAAGACAAGGAAGCAATAAAAAGTCAGAGCTTTTTTTTTTTAAGGGGCTTAGAAATAGTCACTTGTGCCATCTTACCTGGGGACCCAGCCAGTTGCTTCTGCGATGTGAGTCTGAGTGACCATAGCTGGTGCAGGGGTGTACGGGCTCCCAATCAGAACACTTCCTGAGCTGGCTAGTCTCTGTGGTGTGCTTATGATCTGTAAGGTCAGGAACAGGAAAATAATGCTGTTAATTACTGAGAAAAGCCTATAGGCGGACAATAATGTTGATACCAGGAGGAGACCCAGCTATCTAAAAAGCACCTAATGCCAGTCATCTAAAATATAAGCTATGATTTACTTATGTCCTAGGATCTTAAAATACGAGTATCCCCGTGTTTTGTAGTGGGGGGAACACTGGGGATTAAATCCAGGGGTGTTTAACTACTGAGCCACATCCCCAAACCCTCACTTTTTTTTTTTCTTAATACCTGGGTTTTTTTTTTTTTTTTTTAATTTGTTCTAATTTTTAAAAATATTTGTTCTAAATTGTTTTGTTATACCTGACAGTGGAATGAATTTTGACATGTTATTTATAAATGGAGTATAACTTCTCATTTATCTGGTTGTACATTACGCAGAGCTATATAGGTCCTGTAAGCATATATGCACAGAGGGTAATAATGTCCGATTCATTCTACTATCACTACTACCCCTTCCCCCCTCCCCTCCCTTCACTCCCCTTTGTTAGTCCAAAATACCACTATTCTCCTCACTCCCTTTATTGTGAATTAGCATCCACATCAGAGGAAAATATCTGTCCTTTGGTTCTTTGGAATTAGCTTATTTTACTTAGCATAACATTCTCCAGTTTCATCCATTTATCAGCAAATGCCTAATTTCATTCTTCTTTAAGGCTGAGTAATATTACATTGTGTATATATGCCAGTTTCTTTATCCATCTGTTGAAGGGCATCTAGATTGATTCCATAGCTGAACTACTGTGAATTGAGCTGCTATAAACATTGATGTGTCTATATCACTGTAGTGTGCTGATTTTAAGTCCTTTGGGTATAAACTAGGGAATGGAATAACTGGGTCAAATGGTGGTTCCATGCCAGATTTTCTGAGGAATCTCTATACTACTTTCCAGATTGATTACACCAATTTGTAGTCACACCAGCAATATATGAGTGTACTTTTTCCCCACATTGTAGCCAACATTTGTTTTTGTTTATATTCTTGTTTTTTTTTTTTTTTTGGTTACTGCTGGGGATTGAACCCAGGGCCTTGTGAATGTAAAGAACCCTACTGACTGAGCTATATCCCTAGCCCCTATTGTTGCTGATATTCTTGAAGATTGCCATTCTGACTGGAAGGAGATGGAATCTCAGTGTAGTTTTAATTTCCATTTCTCTAATTGCTAGAGATGTTGAACATTTTTTCATATATTTGTTGATCAATTGTTATTTCTTCAGTGAAGTGTCTGTTCAGTTCTTTTGCCCATTCATTGACTGAGTTATTTGGTTTTCTGGTGTTAAGTTTGAGTACTTTATATATCCTGGAGACTAGTGCTCTATCTGAGATGCGTGTGGGAAAGATTTCCTCTCATTCTATAGGCTCTCTCTTCATGTTATTGTTTCCTCTGCTGTGAAGAAGTTTGATTCCATCCCATTTATTAATTCTTGATTTTACTTCTTGTGCTTTAAGAGTCTTGTGAAGGAAGTTAGTTACTAAGCCAACATGGTGGAGATCTGTGCCTATTTTTTCTTCTATTAGGCGCAGGGTCTCTGTTCTAGTGCCTAAGTCTTTGATCCACTTTGACTTAATTTTTATGCAAGGTAAGAGATGTAGGTTTAATTTCATTTTGCTACATGTGAATTTTCAGTTTTCCCAGTACCATTTGTTGAAGAAGCTATCTTTTCTCCAGTGTATGTTTTTGGAGCCTTTGTCTAGTATGAGATAACTGTATTTATGTGGGTTTGTCTCTGTATCTCCTATACTGTATCATTGGCCCACACATCTATTTTGGTGCCAATACCATGCTGTTTTGTTACTACTGCTCTGTAGTATAATATAAGGTCTGGTGTTTGGTTGGTTTTTTTTTGAGCCAGGATCGAACTCAACCATTGAGCCACATCCCCAGCCCTTTTTTGTATTTTATTTATAGACAGGGTCTTGCTGAGTTGTTTAGCGCCTTGCTTTTTGCTGAGGCTGGCTTTTTGAAATCGCCATCCTCCTGACTCAGGCTCCTGAGCCACTGGGATTACAGGCATGCACCACTGCACTAAGGTCTGGTATTGTGATGCCTCCTGCTTCACTCTTCTTTCTAAGATTGCTTTGGCTATTCTGGGTCTCTTATTTTTCCAAATGAATTTCATGATTGCTTTTCCTATTTCTACAAAGAATGTCATTGGAATTTTAATAGGAATTGCATTAAATCTGTGTAATGCCTTTGGCAGTATGGCCATTTTAACAATGTTAATTCTGTCTATCCAAGGGCATGGGAGATCTTTCCATCTTCTGAGGTCTTCTTCAATTTCTTTCTTTAGTGTTCTGTAGTTTTCATTGTAGATGTCTTTCAATTTCTTTTGTTAGACTGATTCTCCAGTTTTTTTTAAAGCTATTTTGAATGGGGTAGTTTTCCTAATTTCTCTTTCAGTGTATTCATCACTGATGTATAGGAACACATTTGATTTATGGGTGTTAATTTTATATCTTGCTATTTTGCTGAATTCATTTATTAGTGCTAGAATGTTTCTAGTGGAATTTTTTGGATCTTCTAAATATAAAATCATGTCATCAGTAAACAGTGATAGTTTGAGTTCTTCTCTTCCTATCTGTATCCCTTTAATTTCTTTATTCTGTCTGATTACTCTAGCTAGAGTTTCAAGAATGATATTTAATAAAAATGGTAAAAGAGGGCATCCTTGTCTTGTTACGGTTCTTAGAGGGAATGCTTTCAGTTTTTCTCCACTGAGAATTAAGGTTGGCCTTCCCCAACCCTTTTTGTTTTGAGACAGGGTCTTACTAAGTTACTTAGGGGCCACAAACTGCTGAGGCTGGTCTCAAACTTGCGATCCTCCTGCGTCAGCCTCCCAAGTCATTGGGATTACAGGCATGTGCCATTGTGCCCGGCAAAGCAGAAGTACCTTAAATACTGATGAGGTAAAAATGTACATTTTAGTAAGTATTAAACTGACAACTTACAATGTCTTAGAAAAATGAAAACCTTTCTTTGAAATTAAGGATACAAACTACAGTAGAGCTTGATTTACTAGAGCCTGGATAATAACAAATCAGATCTTCAGGGTCCAGTATAATGCAAAGATACTACACAATGTAGGTTAGTACATGCAATTTTCTCTTGCTTCTTCCACAACATTTCCTCATGTTATTAAATAAAACATTCCAGTGTATGGATTATTGTTCCCCATTATTATTATACATATGGATTTTTAATTATTCAATTATAGATTATTCAGTTAAAAATCTTAGCCTTAATTTCTATTTCCTAAGACTATATTCCAGAAAGGAAATTAATGGAATAAAAAATATTTTATTTTTTAAAATGGATCCTTAATGTGTGTTACCAAATTGTTTTCTAGATTTTATAACAATTTTCACTGGTGAAGAGAACATGTTTTTTCCAAATATGTTTATAAGAACACCAAAAAATCTGGCAGCCTAATAATAGCTTTCAAAGTATTTTCATAAAAACAAATAAATAAGGGCATGTTCCAGTGAAGGAAGGCACTAATGGAAAAAGACTGGCCCTATGTGAATAGCTAATGAAGCAGCTGCTGGGCACAAGGGTTCTATTTTTATAAAATTTTGAAAATTTCCATAATAGTAAGATTTTGCTTAGGTTCTACTTGAGATGAAAACATATAATATGAGTTAAATATAATTGTTAAGTAACTCTTCCAAAAATTTCTTTTTTTACTGTGTCATATAAGTCAAATGCCAATTAACTTTTGTCTCCATAATAATAATAATAAAAAAAAAACCTGTCTGTATATCCAGGGTCTATAGTCATTATGTTAGTTGTTAACTTTCTCCATAAAGGACCAAAGGGAAGAATTCAAAGGCATTTCAAGTTCTTCATTTGCTATTGAGGTAAAGACTCAAACAATAACCTGAACAGTATTCAGACTTCATTATTGAAAGTTAACATTTATTCATTTACTAAATATTAGGAACTTCAGTTAGGTTCTGTTTGTGTTTGGCATTATGCCAACCTGGGACTAGGGAGATGTTAATACTTACAGATGTTCAGAACATAATTTGAGTAAGTTAATTCTGGAATTAAAAAATAAAAACAAAAGACAAAAATACTGACAGATGTCTAAAAAATTCAGATTATTAGCAATATCAAGTAAGGCATCCAGAAGCTTGTCTCAAGAGAACGTGAAACTAGACAATGTATTGGTCACACATTCTAAGTATGTTTTATCTCCCACTCCTCCAAGTATCTGAGCTCACTTCCCTATTTCCCATCCAGTTGCAAGACTTTAAGGGAAGACAAACTGCCTTGCTAAACTGTGTCCTTTGCAGGGTCTAGCACAATGCTGGGGGATGCTCACAGGAAAGGCACAATAAATATTTACTGAACTGAGACAAAAGACCCAACTTTTAAACTGATAGGGAATAAACTAGGTTCTTTGTTCACTGACATTCTAGAACCAATTATGTAAAATACAATAAGAAACACTATAATATAAAGGGCACAGTTCGCATGCTGACTTTGGGTACAAATAGCTTAAGAAGAAAGATTTGAGTATTTGACTAGTCTCTTTTCTATTCTATTCCATTCCTAGAGCAGAAGTCCTAAGCATTCCAACTGATCTGTGAAATAGTTTTATTATTTGTACAGAATTATTACTAAGGAGTTCTCTTTCTCTATTACTAGCCTACATGCTTGATTTTTCCCGATAAAAAGGGCTTTTGGGGATGGGGGAGAGATGATGAAAAGAGGATGGGAAACAGGACATAGAAAAACTGACTACCTTTATTAAAAATGATGTAGGGGGTGGGCTGTGGCTGTGGCTCAGTGGTAGAGTGCTTACCTAGCATGCATGAGGCACTGGGTTCAATCCTCAGCACCACATACAAATAAAATATTGTGTCGTCCTACAACTAAAAAACATATATTTGAGAAAAAAATTACATGGGAATGAATAAATGGATGAAGAATACATGATATATATACACAATGA